TCCCCCGGCAAGGGGATGGGAGCCGCTGGGAGCCACTGCCCTGACCTTGGTGCCGGGGCTGGGGGCACCTCCCGGCTGCACCAGCTGATCCCCCCCTTTCTGCTGCCCGTGGATGCTGTGGCACCCTCCCTGTCTCCGCCACCTAGACTCGTGTTGAGAGCTATGAGACGTGTGCAGCTGTGGCGCAGGGAGAGAGGGAGAGTGAGCTACCAGCTTGTCACCTGAAGCGAAAAGGCAGAATAAATTCAAATAGATAACCAGTTTCTGGACAAAATGTGGATAGAGTCACACAATCTGGGTTTAATAGCAATTTCTAAATTTCCTTGAGCCAGTAGTTTTAGCTCCAGCTCCTAAGGCTGCTCTTTCTTGAGCTCTCTTCCTCTCTGTTGATGCCTTGTCTAGACATTAGGAGGGTGAGCACATCCCACAGCCTCTAAGAGCTGAACATCTCTCCCCTCTCCACAGACTCACCATGGCAGTCGAGAGGATCCATGCCCGCGAGATCCTGGACTCTCGCGGGAACCCCACCGTGGAGGTGGACCTGTACACACACAAAGGTACATGGGCAAGGATGAGAGACTGGGGGAGGAGGAGTGGGAATAAGTCCTGCCCACCCCAGCAGAGCCTGGCATACTCTGCTGAGGGCATAGACGGTCTTCATCAGTGAACCTCGGCAGACAGCAAGCAAGGGGAAGAGGCAGAGACCAAAACCATGCTTCTGTGTGTGCTCAGTAACTCTGCACACGTGCTGGGCACATCACGATGAGACGGCTTGAGCCATGTGCCTGCTAGTAGTAGGGATGAAAAGTGTCACTAATGTAAATACATTTATCTTCTTGTCCTATCCCTGTGGTGACCTCCTGCAGCTGTGTTTTTACGCCTGGGACACAGTACAAGTTTGGAAGCACATCCATGGCCATGATCATGAGGTGATGGGAAGGTTTAGCCTTGAGATTTCTGTGCAGGCATGTATGTGCACATGTGTCTCAACTGGCAGAGCCGCAACTGCACCCAAAGCTTTGTGGGATGAGGGGTCAGGAGCAGTGACGGGCCAGAGCAGGCATCTGACCAGTCTCTTCTTTCTTCATTGAGGCAGAAACCCAGCCCCAGTCTGAGGAGGTGGGGGTCAGGCTGCCTTTGGAACCAGGGTGAGGAGGCCCCAGGAGGGCTGAGGAGCCAGACTTCCACCTGTTATCCATAGTTCTGGGATCAGTCTGGACCTCTGGGTGGCTGAGATCCAGGTTTCCCAATCTGGAAGCCCTGAGTGCATCTGTTTCTGCCACCCTGGTGCTCCACCTCTGAGGGGTGCTCCACCTCTGAGAAGACCAGCCAAGAGCAGCCCACCAGTGGGGCCATCCATTTGCACATGTGGTTGCCACATCCTTTTCCCTTAAAAGCGGGACAGAGACAGGTACATGAGAGCTTTCCCTCCTTTTCACCACCTGCTCATCTCACACCTGTGTTTTGCTGATTCCCAGGCATGTTTCGAGCGGCGGTCCCCAGCGGCGCGTCCACTGGTATATATGAAGCTCTGGAGCTGCGAGACAACGACAAGTCGCGCTTTCTCGGAAAAGGTGGGGAGATGCCCGCCCTGCACCCCATCCCCGGGGCTGCCCGTCCATGGGGTTGTGCTAGAGGGTACTGCTCTTCCACTGGCGTGACGTGGACACGTCCCAGTGCCCTCAGAGAGACTGCAGAGGCATAGACCTAGCATAAAGTGAAAGATCAGGCCTCAATCTTCCCTAGCTGTCTCCCTCTCTGTCTCTCTATCGGTCCTCTCCCTCCTTCTTTCCACTCTCCTCTTTGCCTCACCCCTCTCTCTATTTCTCTTTCTCTCTTTCTCTGCCTCTTCCCTTCTTTAGGGGTCCTGCAGGCCGTGGATCATATCAACAGCACTGTCGCCCCAGCTCTCGTGGGCTCTGTAAGGATTTCTCTTTGTTCTCCCTTGTCCAACGCTTACTCTGCTCCGTCTCTGTCCCCTCGATCTCTGTTTCTGCCTCTCTTCATCCTGCTGGGTTAACAGACATAGTGATGCTCTCTGTCAGCCTGGGCACACCCCTCCATGCCTGTATGTGTCCACGGCAATCTTTCCTCTGGGCAGGAAGGATTTAACGCTTCCCAGTCCACCACAGCATCCGTACCACCTCACTAGTCCCCTCAATGCTCCCTGTAGAGCACTTTCCCTCTTTCAGACATGCTCTTCCTCAAGCACTGAACCTCACCCGCGTGTCTGTGGCCTCACCATGTTCATCCCACCCAGCATTCGTGATGTGGTGAGCAATGACCGCACTGTGCAAGGTGTGGCAGCCTGCACCTCAGCACAGCCTTGCAGAATGGTGGTATCACATCTGCAGCCTGTTCACGCCTGAAGACCTGGAGCCTGCTCTGAGGAGAGCTGAGCTGAAGCCACGTTACACCCCATGCAGCCTGTGGGGAATCTGCCTGAGGGCCAGGCCCTCTCCACCCTTAAATAAGACCTGGCCTGGTGGAGGGCTGCCTGTGTTGGGCCTAGCCTTGGTCTCCACCTTGCTCCCAGGGATGGCTCCATCCAGTCTACATTCGCTTGCTTGGGGTTGAGCATGTAGCGTTGTTCTGCCTCGCTTCTGTGTGGCCACAGCACCACAAAGCTCCCAGGAAGCTGCCAAAAAGCTGGGTAAATCCCCAAGGGAGTCCTGCATCCCCAGCAACGCGTGGCCTTGCCTGGGCTGCAGCTGATCCCCTCTCCAGCGTGGGTACATCTACACTGCACTGCAGCAACATCATCGTGGTCACCTAACTTGGCTACATACCAAGGCACTAATTTCCAGAGCTTTGTGTGCATATGTTACCCCACAAGCTAAAAAGGTCCCTGTACCCCCCAGCTTCTCCTTCAGTGCCTCCTTGCTCACAAACCAGAGCAAACCGCTCTCCTCAGCCTTCCCTTCTCAGGAGCTGCTTCTTTCTCGCAGGGCCTCTCTGTTGTGGATCAAGAGAAGATAGACAACCTGATGCTTGAGATGGACGGCACAGAGAACAAATGTAATTCATTCCTTTTTTTTTTTTTTTTTTTTTTTTTTCTTTTTTTTAGGTCTGGGAAGTAAAGAGCATGGGAGGGTGCAGGGCTGGTGTGGAGGGCACTGTTGGAGCTGTGGTGAGCCCACGGCTGGGCTGGCAAGGGCAGCCTCTGGGCAGGAGGTTCCTTCCTGAGAAGCCTAACTCCTCCTTGGTTTTGCCTGCAGCCAAGTTTGGCGCCAATGCTATCCTGGGAGTTTCGCTGGCTGTGTGCAAGGCAGGAGCTGCAGAGAAGGATGTCCCCCTGTACCGGCACATCGCCGACCTGGCCGGCAACTCCGATCTCATCCTTCCTGTGCCAGTAAGACTCCTCCGTCCTTGATATCCACCTTCAGAAACTCCAAAAGAAAGTTCAAAGGGAGTGTTGGGAGGTAGAGAAGGGATATAGTGCTGAGATATCAGCCGAGTGCAGTGCACTGGTCAAGGAAGCAAACGAAAGCCTAGGATTTGTCAGATGTGTAAAAGAGGGGCCTGAGGATGATATGGCAGGGGTTGTGGTGAGCATTGACTGAGGGTCTCATTCTTAGCACAAGGACCAGAGGGTATCATGTGAACCCTCTGGGCAACAGTGCAAAACAGGGGCACATGGGTCTTCACATCAAGGGTAACTGCCCACTGAAACTCCTTCACAACATGTATTGTGGATGCTAAAATTTTCTTAGGGTCAAGAAGAAAGGGCCTAGAATAGAGATCAATGTAGCATTGCTGATAAACACATGTAGATAAAAACATACAGCGGGAGAGGAAGACAGGTGGGAAAGTCCTCTCCAACTATTTGCTTTGAGCTGCTGTTGGAAGGAAGATCCCGGGCTTATGTGCTTTTGATGCATTGTAACTGATGTGTTACCCTGTGGGATATGGCATGGATGGACATGGTGACTAATTGGAGAGCCTCCTCTAGGTAGGTAGACCAGTTCCTTTGGCTCTGATTCTTGTATGGACTCTTCCAGGCTTTCAACGTAATCAATGGAGGCTCCCACGCAGGCAACAAACTGGCCATGCAGGAGTTCATGATCCTGCCGGTGGGAGCTGAAAGCTTCCGCGATGCCATGCGCATCGGGGCTGAAGTCTATCACAACCTCAAGAGTGTCATCAAGGATAAGTATGGCAAAGATGCTACCAATGTGGGTGATGAGGGAGGCTTTGCCCCCAACATCCTGGAAAATAGCGAAGGTGAGAGCCCTGCAGAGATGGGGTACCCCTGCCTGCAATGCTGTGGCTTCCTACACCCAGCTTACAGCTTTCCCCAAAGATTGGTTCAGACAATGATGCCTCAGTGTCGTCGACCTCCTGTGTTAGTGAATGGTTTCTAAGCTCCTTGTCCTTGGGGTGGCCTTGATCTGTCACAGCCTCTCCATGCAAACCTTTCACATGTGCACAGACTTTTCCAAGGCCTTTGCCCATCTTGTCTCTGAGCTGTGGGACTGTATTTTAATTATTCCTGGTCCCTTTGGGCATGGCCTCCACAGCTCCTTGGCATGTTTTGGTTGCACTCTGGGCTCCTTTCTACCTCTCCCATCACACCATCAGACTGGCTCTCAGGACCTTCCGAGAGGGTGTTCCCATTCAAAGTCTGAGCTCTCTGCACAGGCTGACTCTTCTCACCGCAACTTTCCTCCTCGCAGCTCTGGAGCTCCTCAAGGAAGCTATTGACAAGGCAGGCTACACAGACAAGATTGTCATCGGTATGGACGTGGCAGCCTCTGAGTTCTACCGGGATGGCAAATACGACCTGGACTTTAAGTCACCAGATGACCCAAGCCGCTACATTTCTGCAGATGAGCTGGGTGACCTCTACCAAAGCTTTGTACGTGATTATCCAGGTGAGCTGCTGTGCTTGGCAGTAGGGAATTGGCACTGGTGGTGCATACTTAACAGGCACATCCACTCCATGTTTTTGGGGTGGGAAGGGAGGCAGCTTTGACTCCTGTCTCTTCTATCGTCCCTTCAGTGGTCTCCATCGAGGATCCCTTTGACCAAGATGACTGGGAGGCCTGGTCCAAGTTCACGGCCAATGTGGGGATTCAGATAGTGGGAGATGACCTGACAGTGACGAACCCCAAACGCATCGAGCGAGCTGTGGAAGAGAAGGCCTGCAACTGTCTCCTGCTCAAAGTCAACCAGATTGGATCTGTCACGGAGGCCATCCAGGCGTGAGTAGGGTCTGCTGCCCCTGCTGTCCAGCAAAAGGGTTTGCCATGAACCACAGCAGAGTGTCATTGACAATTATCATTGGATAATTGGACTTTTGTCTCTACCAGAGTGTAGGATGCCGAGGGTGGGAGGAGAGGGTGCCTGGATCTCAGCCTGTGTGGGTGGTGGTTATAGGAGTGGGAGCTACTGACTGCATTTCTTGCTCCTTACAGCTGCAAGTTGGCCCAGGAGAACGGCTGGGGTGTGATGGTGAGCCACCGATCTGGGGAGACTGAGGACACCTTCATTGCTGATCTGGTTGTAGGACTGTGCACTGGGCAGGTAGGTGAGACCCAGGCCATGCACACAGGCCTGGAGGAAAATGAAGGGGCGTGAAGACAGAATCCCCTGCCCCACCATGGGAAACTGGTGTGAGTCATAACATGTTACAGTGTTTGTTTTGGGGAATGCTTTACAGATAAAGACGGGTGCTCCCTGCAGGTCTGAACGCCTGGCTAAATACAACCAGCTCATGAGGTAAGGAGCTCCAGGGACGGGAGCGCAGAAGAGAGAGCGGGGGAAGAAGCTGAAGGCTAAAGGGTAAATAGGGCTTGTGTGGGAAGCGCTGTGAAGACAAGGGCCTGATGTCTGCTGTCTCTCTCTCCTGCAGGATTGAGGAAGAGCTTGGCGACGAAGCACGCTTTGCTGGACACAACTTTCGCAACCCAAGTGTTCTTTGAACGTTGTCTCCAAGGCACAGCCACCCTGCTGCTCTTTTCCCACCTCACAGACTCTGAAGCCCCCTTCCCTCCACTGCTCCTGTTTTTGCTCTTTCTCCACCCCCTCCATCACCTGGTTCCCTCTCACCTCAAACCCCCTCGAGTTCAGGTGTCCCCGGCTAGATGTACCCAGGTGAAGAATGAGAGAGAGGCCTACACCCTGTCCCTTGCTTTGGGGTCATAAGCATTTCTGGATCTAGGCATTGTGTGTGTCTTTTGAGTTTTTGGTGTTTTTTTTTTTTCTGAGCCGCTCAGTTCACATGTTAGACTACAGGAGCATGCTGCCTGGTGTCTTTCCCTTGTCCGCCGAAGCATGTGCAGTGACCGTACGTGCGTCGGCTGGTGTGTTTGGACAAGTGTCGCACCTGTAGCTGTATTTGGATGAGTGTTGCCAGTGGCTCGCTCTTGTTGTGCATGTGTGTAGGTGTACGTGTACTGGCCTACGGCCTCCTTGTGCCCCAGGCGTGTGTTTGCGCTGAGCCCTGGTGGGACCTGAGCGTCCCCTCCTTTCACCCTGAGTACTGTGCTGTGTTGGGCTGTGCTTGCCAGCAGCTTAGCGTTGAAGTGCACTGCTGTCCCTCACTGGGTGTGCGTGTGTGTGTGCGTGCTGTCAGTCTCCGGCTCAGCACATAGTACTGTGGGGCGGTATATTGAAACACATCCGTGAACAAACCCATGCTCTCATTTGCTTCTTGTGACCTTTTTCTCTCTGTTCCCTTCCCTTTTGCAATCCTTCACCCTCTTTTCCACCCATAATGTCTGCTTCACCTTCTGGACAGCCCATGCTCAGCTGAGCAACAGACAAACTAGAGATCCCTAAACTAAATTAAAATATATTTCTCACCTGAGTCGCCTGGCTCGGCCTGATGTTTCTCTCTACATGCCAGTGTTCGTGAAGTGGGGAAATTTTGCTATTGAAGCAGGAGGGGCTCATGCAGAAAGGTACCCAAAACAGGCAGAGGGGATGGGCAAGAGAAAGGAAAGGTCCAGGTACCAGGAGGTGGGACACCTGCTTTGTCCCACAGCCAGGCTGGGGAAGGCAAGTGGGAGGGTTGGAATTGCCCCCACCCTCTCCATCAAACTATGTCACATGAAGAACAGCCATGCAGGGATTTTAATCGTACCCTCCACTGATAAAGATCTCAGGGTGGGGCTACAGGCCAGCTGCACACTAGAGTCAAGTGATGGTAAACTAGAACTGCAGGTTTTTGGGAGAGAAAAAGCTGATCCTCCTCCCCCAAAAGGGGTGTGCAGAGCCATGGATGGAGGGGTAGATGGGATGTCGGTGTTTCTCAGCTCCATCTTGTCCAGCACAGCAGTACTTGAAACTAGCTGCTTGTGCCCCAGCAGGCTGAGTGCCAGCAAACCCCAGCACTGGCTCAACAGTGTTATTTTGGATAGACTCCAATGAAGGCGGGAGCCTGGGGGATGCTACTGTGAGAAATCCAACACAGGCTATACTGGAGAATAAATGATAAAACCACCGTGCCCACCACCAATCGGCTCATACCAGTAGCCCCTCTATGCACTTGGGCGTATTCAGGTACTGCAACCCTCCTGTCCCAGCAGAGG